TTAATTGGTAAAATTCTTATATATTTGTCCTAAGGTTTCAGTAAGCTCAGGGTTAATTCTACTAAATTAATTATATTCTTCATTCTATTTTTGTATTGAAACATTTAAAAATTTCAGTCTACACATTTTAACTGGCACTGTCTTTTTGCTTTTATTCAGAATAACTTTCTTCAACAAATACTTTTATGTAACAACACCCATAAAATAAGGTGATCCTATGGTTCTTTCATAAATCTTGACAAATTTAGATGCTGCAAAAACAAAGGGTTCAATTTCATTCTATTTGTGTAAAAAATATTAATTTATTCAATTTCTTAAAAAAGCACCTTCAGAACTTTCTCTCAGAAGACAAGTTGTTCTGTAGATCAATTATAGATTTTGAAAAGTAAATTATGGGCCAGCACAGTATCTCACACTTGTAATCCCAATGCTTTGGGAGGCTGAGTAGGGAGGATTGCTTGAGCCAGGAGTTCTTGACTAGCGGGGCAACATAGTGACAGCCCATCTCTCCAACAACAACAAACAACCACAAATTAGCTGGGCATGGTGGCACATGCCTATGAGTTCTTGCTAATACAGAGGCTGGGTGGGGAGGGTGGGAGAATCACCTGAGCTTAGAAGTTTGAGGTTACAGTGAGGTATGATTGTGCCCCTACACTGTAGCCTGGGTGACAGAGGAAGACCCTAGCTCTAAAAAATAAATGAGTAAATAAATACATAAATAAATTATGTACACTGAATTCTCATCATCAAATTTCCTATTTTTGTTTGTTTGTTTCTGTGGATGTTTTAGTCAATTTTGTAGATGTCTGCTATAACAAAAATAGACAGTGTCTTAAAAACAATAGAAATGTATTTTTCATAGTTCTAGAGGCTGAGAGTCTGAGATCAGAGTGCCAGCATAGTTGGGCTCTGGTGAGGTTACAGACTCTCAACTCATTGAATCCTCACGACAAAAAGAATGCTAGAGAGCTCTCTGAAGTTTATTTTATAAGGACGCTAACTCTATTCATGAGGCCTTCACCCTCATGACCTAAACACTTCCCCAAGGCCTATATCTTTTCATAACATTGCATTAGGGGTTAGGTTTTCAACCTATAAATTCCGGGGGAACATAAGCATTCAGTTCATTACAATAGAGAAAAGTGTTATTCTTTTTTTTTTTTTTTCCATTTAACTTCCTCGGAATTTAGTCTATGTATTCCATACGTTTCCAATTAATATAAAACATGAATGTCATATTTTTTAAACCTTTAAGTTCAGAGGTAGATGGACAGGTTTTTTACATAGGTAAGCTTGTGTCATGGAGGATTGTTGTAAACAGATTATTTTATTATCCGTATATTAAGGCTAGTACCCATTAGTAAGTTTTCCTTATCTTCTCCCTCCTTTCTCCCTCTACCCTCGAAATGCAAATCAAAACAACAATGAGATACCATCTCATACCAGTCAGAATGGCTATTATTAAAAAGTCAGAAAATTGCAAATGCAGATGAGGTTGTGGGGAAAAAAGAACATTTTTACACAGTTGGTGGGAGTGTACATTAGTTCAACCATTGTGCAAGACAGCGCAGCAATTCCCCAAAGACCTAAAACCAGAAATACCATTTGACCCAACAATTCCATTACCAAGTATATACTCAAAGAAGTATAAATTATTCTTTTATAAAGACACATGCATGTGTCTGTTCATTGCAACACTTTTCACAATAACAAATACATGGAATAAATGAAAATGCCCATCAATGATAGGCTGGATATAGAAAACGTGGTACACATACACCATGGAATACTATTCTATTTCCAGTTTTTAATTTCAATAATTTCAATTTTCTGTGTCAATGTTGACATTTTTGGGTAATTTTATTAGATTTCCAACATAAAAAAGTTTTTTAAAAGTAACTGAGTAAGAACTAGGTATGAGAGGCCTAGAAAAAAATTTAAATAAATGAGTAAATAAATAACAAATTTAGAAAAACCATTCACAACACATTTCAATCCCATAGTAGAACACTTAGATTGGCTTACAAGGTTGTTTAGTAAAGTTTAAACTATTTCTATAATTTAACTGATGATAAGCAGCAAAGAGAGAAAGTGTAAAGCTTCATTTTAATGTGTATGTGTTTGTGTGTCTGCATAGAAGCTGTAGTATACAGTTTGGTATATTAGGCTGGTAAAATATTACAACTTGTGTGATTTAATGGAATTAATTCCAAATATATTTACATTTCATGCATTTCTTAATTCTCTATCGTGACTTTTGATCTGTAAATACATTTTTGTTGTTTTGAACCACAAAGTTTGTGATAATTTGTTACAAAAGCAACAGGAAACTAATACACAAGTCAATTATAGGAATGACATTATATTTTCTTGTTTGTCATCAATGTCTAAACAAATGCCATTAGAAACATAAATTCAGAAAAACATAAAACAGATAGAGTGCAATGCAAAAAATAAAATATAAAGCATTTATATTTTTATTTCCCTAAAAGTATATCATTTCAGTCTTCAAGGTTGAAATTCTAACTATTCAGAATAATGTTCAATAATTCTCCCATGTTTTACCATAGAAAAATTAATTTCTAAAAGTTTGAGTCCATGAGTTACATGAAAATATAATTACTATTGTGTTTAATAAAACTTTCTATTTCAAATAACTGTTGAGACTAATTTGAACCACACATCATTTAACTGTTTGCAAAGTTTTTTTGAAAATAGCCCTACTCCATAAACAGTTGTCCCTATACTGTTTTCATGCACACAAGAAAACCTGAGATTGAAAAAGAAGAAAAATAATTTTGAGTAGTCATTTATTCTAAATGAAAAGTCACATTTCAGTGAAACTGTTTTCCATGACTATATGAATTAAACCAACATCTATTAATACTGACATAGTTTTCCTTTTAAAAGTACTAATCGTTAAACTCATGCTGATATTTTTTTTCTGAAGATTTATTACCTAGCTTTTATGGGGTTTGTAATATTTATATGGCCCCACATATGCTAGATGAGAAATATCAAGAAATATTTTGTGCAAGTTTTATGTTCATTGTCAATTGTTATTACTAAATTTTTTATTAAACACCTATTCTTTAGAATTAAATATTTTTGGTTCATTGTTGCTAAAAAGAGTTTATCGCAAAATGAATGTGCAAACAATCAATGAAGCAAATTAGTAGTCAATATTCATCATAAATATATGATATCATCTTCAGCCTCTATTTCTTATACATATTTCATGTGCATATACTTTCCTACATTCCATATAGCCCTTACTAAGTGGAGGCTTAGCAATTTGAAACTCACAGGCTATGGGACAAGGCAGACACACCTGGCTGGGACATGTTATTTTTCGTCTTTTTAATAATGACTATTCCAACTGGTGTAAATTTATTTCTCATTGTAATTTTAATTTGCCTTTATCTGTTGCTTAGCAATTTTGAGCATTTATTTTTATGACTGTGGAACAAATAGGTGTCAATGCACAGGAGATATTTGAAAACACTAATTTGCAGTGCATGGGAGTTCTGAAATACAGAAATATAAATTTTAAAATTTTCAGCATATGGGCAGTCAATGAAACCACTTGAGATGAAAGATCTGGCAAGGCATTTTCAGCATTAATATTTGTTGAACACGTTATTGGCAGTTTCTAGAGATAGGATGAATCGCATTTGTTTAGACATTGATGATAAACAAGAAAATATAATGTCATTACTATAATTGACTTGTGTATTAGTTTCTTGCTGCTGCTGTAACAAATTATCACAAACTTTGTGGTTCAAAACAACAGAAATGTATTCTCTCATGGTTTTGCATGCTCAAAATATGTCCAAAGTATGTACCACTGGGTTTAATTCAAGATGGCTACATTCTGTCTGGAGGCTCAAAGGGAGATTTTGTTCCTTTCCTCTCTCAACTTCTAATGGCTGCAGACATTCTTTGGCTCAAAGCTGTGTCACTCTAGTCATGGCTTTAGTCATCACATTGCCTTCTTTTTTTCTTCCTCTGCCGTAAAATATCCCTCTACTTCCCTTTTATAAGAATGCATGTGATTCCATTTAGAGTCCACTCTGTTAATCCATGATAATGTCTCCAACTCAAGATCTTTAATGTAATCACATCTACATAACCTTTTGTTGTCAGATAAAATAACATTCACAGGTTCCAGAAATTAGGGCATGGATATCTTTTTGGGGGCATTGGGGAGGTTAGTTATTATCAGTGTACTATGATTTTATCTTTCTAATCTACATCAAGATAGGAATTTTTTATCCTATCTCTATCATCACTCCCTTGAAATGTAGGTATTCAGAGAAATATAAATGTGCTATTTTTTTTAAGAGTTGGTATCTCACTATGTTGCCCAGATTAGAGTGCAGTGGCTTTTCACAGGTGTGATCGTAGTGCACTACCGCCTCAAACTGGCAAGTCATCATCCTTCCTTAGCCTCCTGTAGCTGGGATTTCAGGCATGCACCACTATGCCTGGCTAAACACACTCTTTTGTCAAGTATAAAACTGTGCTATTCATTAGAGTAGCCACTAGCCACCTGGAGCAACTGAGCAATTAAAATGTAGCTAGTCAGAAATGAGATATACCGTAAGTACAAAATATACATCACACTTGGAAGACTTGGTACAAGACATACAATGTAAAATATCTCAACTTTTTGATTAATTAAATGACTTTTTGATATATTGTATTAAATAAATTATTGAAGTTAATTTTACCTTTTTCAATATGGCTACTAAAAAGTTTAAAATTACATATGAAATTCACATTATATTTCAACTAGACAGCACTAGTCTAGAATGTGTATGTTTAAATTTTTTCATTATATAGAGAAATTGTTTCCTTATAAATAATTAAAATTCCTGAAAGTTGCACACCAAGTTAATTAAATGCTGATCTTTAAAAACTGTATGGCTGTACCTTGCTCTTTTGTAATCCATATTCATTCAAACTATGAACTTCTGCTTTTCTCCATTTTACAGCAACAAACCAGCAGGACTTCCTGTGAAATCATGACCCCCATGTGCTCTTTCAGCCCCCATCAATTCGTACCTCTAAGCACCTGAGAGCCAAAGTAAACCACAGGAAACCACAGGTACTAACTCTTTTAGACCCGATGAAGTGTCTCCCAAAGACAGTCTGGCATGGTGAGTACCAGAGTAACTGGCAATCTTTTAGAATGGAGAGAAAATAAGAAATTGGGAAAAGTTTGGCATTTGCTTTCAATAGAGATTAGATTCTGACCTCTGAAAAGAATAAAGGAAAATGTTTATGATGGGGAGGGATCCAAGGGTAACTTGTGGGAAAGGAAGAAGCTTCCAGAAAAGTAGGTTTGAGATCTGAGAAGAGACTTGTGTATGTCTGAGGGAAGAGTTGGAGACAGGTAACCAGGGGAGAAAATATGGGAAGTTTTGAGCAGTGAAGGTCTGATGAGATGGAAAAGGAGAAAGGACACTAATATTTATTAGGCCTCTACTGTGTGTTAGATACCTGCACATAGGTTATTCAAATACATGTATAGTATTCATTTTTGCAGGCAAAAATTGAGGTACAGAAAAATGAAATTATTCTGCTAAGGACACACAACTATTCGGGATCAAAGGTAAATTTATAATCCATTGATTAGTGGGTGGATATCCTTTTAGAGTGTTAAACATAGATTAAAGTGTGAAACTGCAAGGGTGAAAAATGGGCACACGACTTTGAGTAATTTGAGAAAAGTTGAGTCATTTCAATGATAGTCTGTGTGTAATCTGAGTTGGAAAAGTGAAAGCAGGGGGAAGTAGGGCGGGGAATTGTTTGTACTTGGAACTGTCCATGATAACTGTGGGAATACTAACACACTGAAAGGCCCCTGAAGAAATGACATATTGGTTGGCCTTGTAACTAGGCAAAGTTTTGAACTTGACCAGTTCCTTAGCATCCCACTGTAGTTCTATAGGTCAAAGCATAGACTTTTGGAGTTTTATATATTTGCCCATAAAAAATGTCAGCATATTTGAACTTCAGCCTCTCACAGATCTGATGGAAACCTACTCAACAGAGATCGGTTCAAGTTTTAGTAAGTTCATCTCTAAAACTGAAGAGAACATGAATCACCTTGCCTTCAGAATTTCTAGCTCCGTAATTTGCAACTTATACTATTCCTTCTAGAAATTATTTCATTCTCATTTCTCCTAGAACCTTCAAGTGTTCAAACACCTATTCTTCAAATATTCACATTTTCTTCACTTCAGTAGACTCTTCCAACCATGGGCTATAGGACAAATTATTTTATTGATGCCCTTCCCTAGTACACTATTGAACTCTAATCACTTAAGCATTCCATCTATGAGTACATGAACATAGTGGCTGCTGGTGGGAGGCTGAGAGAGTAACCACTGGTGGGAAGTTGGTGATGGGAGTGGGGAAAAATGAAAAACATCTTACACTCTAACAGGCTTGGCTCACCATCATTTACAAAGTCCTAGTGTAACTTTTATTCTTGCTGCTATTTGGCAGGCTTTTTACATTAACTACTCCGGGTGTTTCCTATTTTGATTTCTTCTCTCTCTCTCTCTCTTTTCTCTCTTTCTTTCTTTCTTTTTTTTTTTTTTTTTTTTTTTTTTTTTTTTTTTTTTTTTTTTTTGACAGAGTCTTGCTCTGTCACCCAGGCTGGAGGGGAGTGGTGCGATCTCGGCTCACTGCAAGCTCCACCTCCCGGGTTCAAGCCATTCTCCTGCCTCAACCTCCCGAGTAGCTGGGACTACAGGCACCCACCACCACGCCTGGCTAATTTTTGGTATTTTTAGTAGAGACGGGGTTTCACGTATTAGCCAGGATGGTCATGATCTCCTGACTTCATGATCCGCCTGCCTTGGCCTCCCAAAGTGGTGGCTTTACAGGAGTGAGCCACTGCGCCCGGCCTATCCTTCTTTCTTCTAGCTGTTAATCTTGCCTTTCATTTAGCCAAAATCAAGACACTTGGCCCAGGCTTTCTCATTTTCACCTCATTTTCATCAACCACTATCTCTACATGAAGATCTTTTCATCCTTCTCAATGTTTGTGGAAAAGAAAGCACTCAAACCCCTTTTTGTTTTCCTAAAAAGGTAATTGTTATTATTTACCTTTCTTCTATCATCTTTAATTCTTTCTTTCTGTTGACTCTTCTTTCCATGTCTGATGATGGTTAACTGTTTTTTAAGCTTTGGTAAATCAACAGGAGAAATAATGCATTTTTCTTTAAATTAGCCTTTCTTGAGTTAGGCGATTGAATATTTAAATGTTTAGCAGTCATTTCGTTTTTTACCCAGTGAATTGTCTTTTGAAATTTCATGCTTCTCTTCCTAATTATAAATTGGATAAATTTTGCAATTTTTTTGTTTTGAACTTGCTTATGAATTAATGTTAAGCATTTGTCTGTAATATTTGTGACAAATATTTTTCTGTTTCTTGCCTCTTAGTAATGTTTTAAAAATGTTAGATTTTTAAAAGTTTAGTTATATTTGTCACACTTGTCACCATTTCCCATTGTGATATCTTTAAGTGCTTATATACTTAGAATGTCATTTGCTGTCTGTATTTCAGATTAAGATACACAGGCATTCAGTGTTTACAGTTAGGCATACATTCTGAGAAAGGCATGGGTAAATTATTTTGTTATGCAGACACCATAGAGTCCACATACACAAATTTAGGTGTTGTAGCCTGCAACACACCTAGGCTATATGGTATAGCTTATTACTCCTAGTCTACAAATCTATACAGCATGTTACTATAATGGATACTGTAGACAATTGTAACACAATATATTGCAGTATCATATATGACATTTTATGGTGTCACATATGTAGTTTGTTGTTGACTAAAATATCACTCTTTAACACATGACTATACTTTTACGTTATTTCTATTTTTATTATTTTAAAGTTTTGAATGAATGCGTATTTCTTTTACCCTTTCTCATAATATTATCAAATTATCTTAGATCATGATAATTGAAGTCTTGAAATCTTCTTTGACTTGTCTAGCTTAATTCATATGCCATATCTTTAATTTAGAAACTATAATCTTCAAAAATTAAATCAAATTTGAACTGAGTCATTCCATTGATAATAGTCATAGTAAAGATAAGGATTACATCATAATTGTATCCTCAGCACATAGTATAATCCTTGATGTATTATTTATTATTGTATGTAATACAATAATAAACTTTCAATAAATGTTTGCTGAATTGGATTACAAAATTAGGTTATCACATTAAATCAATGTCATGGTAATTATTTTGTGTATATAATGCAATGCAACGTCTTCCTGAAACTATGCTTTTAACCAAGTCAACTTATATATCATTCACTTGTCCTCATTCCTTACTTTTATATTCTTTTCTTCTTTCTATCCAGCTTCAGACAATGTTGGCATAGTCTCTTTTCTGTTTCTCATTTTAGAATTCAGTTGCCTAATTGAAAGGGCAAATATTCATCCAATGACTCTTCTTTCTGACCACTTTGGGCAACCAATCATCTTCAGTCCCTAAGACTCCCTGTCTGCATGGGATTTTCTATAAAACTGGCTCTATGCATTTATAAATATGGCAGTTCTATTTCCCCATAAGTTTCTACACTTTGAATTTTCTGATATTAGCTGCAGTAAGGAAAACTCAAAAGAAATGGTTGTCTGAATAATTGCTTATTGAGCATAGATTTTATTATATGACAATCATTTAAATAGTGCTAGTTCAAGCAAAGACCAGAAGGGGTTTAAAGATTCCAATAGGAAATCCTTAAGCAGACTTCATTTGCTAAAGAGTGAAACTTTATAGTTAATACATAAACTGTAAAAAATTAAAAAAGAAAGGATGTCTTTGGAAGAAAAACAGACACATGTCCTGGTATTATTTTTTTTAATATTGGAAAACAGCTTCCTATGTAGTCAGATGATCCAGTTTTCTAAGAGTATGTAGGTTGAGTTTATAATTTAAAATTTCCTGAAGCAAATATAAAGAATCGAGATGAAAAACATACAGTCAGAATGGAAGAAACTGAACAAGAAAGTAACATGAACATATAGATAAACTTAAGTACCAGGTATTGCCTTCTATAGTTTTTGTTTGTTTGTTTGTTTGTTTGTTTAGAAATAGACCAGAAAACATAGGTGCATTTGTTAACGCTACTGAGAAGAAAAATAATGGGTTAGAAATTAAAACTGTTTTGGTAAGCCATAAAACAAGATGTGTAGAAAGAACTGGGAGTATGAGACCTCAATGTTTTGTCTAAGGCCATCCCTATTAATTTTCATCCATAAGCCAGGCAAATAAAAGCAGTATAGAAGTATATCTAACCCTGTATAACCCTGAGTTAACATTTTTGTAGGAACCATGCTTGTTTACAGTTTCTGTATTTAGTAAGAATGTTATAGTTGTATAACATCTCTCTATGGCTCTTTGAAAATAATAGTAACCACCATTTATTACACACTCACTGCATGTCACATACTGTGCTAGTTTCCTAAACCAGGTTTCATTTTATCTTCACAGAAATCTTATGATATAATACAAGTATATATTTTACAGATGAGGAGACTGAGGTTTAAGTACCTCAGCTGACGGCTGAAGTTCATATAAATATAAATGACAGAGCTGGGTACTCAACTTAAGAAATATGATTTTGGAACCTACTACTATAAAACAAAACCCAATTATTAAGACATGTAAGATCCAACTTCCAAAATTAGTAACATCAAAATTACTGGGTATGTCAAGAATATTTGTGTTTATAGGTTTAAGAACTTATTCTTTCTACCACAGATTTAATAATTAACACTTATAAGATATATTACATATTTGTTTGCATTAGTAAGTGGTATAATAATAATAATTTATACTTTTTTGATGACTCTGCATCTGAAGATCGTCAGTGAAAATGATGGAAGAGGCCAGGTGCAATAGCTCACACCTGTAATGCCAGCACTTTGGGAAGTCCAGGCGGGCAGATCACATGTGGTCAAGAGTTCAAAACCAGCATGGCCAACATGGCGAAACCCTGTCCCTACTAAAAATACAAAAATTAGCCGGGCCTGGTGGTGCATGCCTGTAATACCAGCTATTCACAAGGCTGAGGCAGGAGAATCGCTTGAACCCTGGAGGCTGAGGTTTCAATGAGCTGA